TATCTCAGTTACATTATATTGACTTATTATCAAGTTTTTATAAAACCATATAGACTGCACAACGTCACAGGTATAACTATGTCGCACAGGGGCTATGGATTTTTCACACCCTGAACAACGTAATTATACCAAGAAAAGTCTGTTGTGTAGAGCTGGCCTTATAATTTATGTAGCTGTGAACTTGCTACCTATTTTTAAAAGTGCCAACCAATTTGAGAAGGCTGCATTACTGTTTTGAAAGCCACTTTTTTTGTTGGAAACCATTAGAGATAAAAATATTTTGAGAATGATGCCTTGTCCACAGTGTCTAGCAATGTGTAACTATGTTATCTGAAACCGTTTTGAAGTATTCTGTTAATTATGGTGCAACTTGAATACATAAGGGAAGCAATGCATCTTCCTCGAAGGATGTTACAATCTGGATAAAAAGTTTCAGAAAATAGTCAACTTTTTAGATTAACATTGGCCACTCCCTCTCCTTTTTTTTTCGCCCTCAACCATCCTTTATATGTGCTTCTGACCCTGACTATAGACAAATATGGAAAACCCGAGATAGATAAGGCAGTCTCAGAGCAGATAGGAACTACCTTATTTTTTGAAATCCGGGAGAGTGGGATTGCTGGGAAATATAGTAATGTTGTAGTCCTTGCCTAGGGCAAAGCAAGCTAGGAAGTCAGGGAAATATATGAATCCTGTCCTCTCCCAAGAGCAGGTCTACATTACAGGTGCTACAGTGGTGCAGCACCATAGTATAAATGCTTCCTACACTGATAGAAGGGTTTTTCTATCTGTGTAGTTAATCCACCTCCCTGAGTGGCAGAAACTATGTTGATAGAAGAATTCTGCCATCAATCTAGGTGTGTTTACACTGGGGGTTAAATAGGCTTAACTATGGTGCTCAGGGGTGTGAATTTTTCACACTTCTGAGTATTGTATCTATGTTGCCCTAACTTTTAAGAGCAGACAAGTCCTAAGTACAGAAACCTGGAAGGAGGTAAGTTGTACTGAGGGACTTGCCCGAAAATTATTGGTATGTACAACAAGGTTTTTCATTGTTTTTCCTTTTGCTTTGTAATTTTTTTTCTTAAATGCAGGTATCTCTGACACTGGTCTCATCTGATTTCTAAGAAACTACAGAGAAGCTGAGAGAATGCAGCAAGGAAGCATCAGGAATGCTCTGAACAAGCACTTAGTGTGAGGTCCTGGAAAGCGTAGAGAGAGAGCTTTTGGGACAGGTTCTGGCTAAAAGAAGTACGGGACTATGAGGTTTGGGGCTGTGAGCAAGGAAATGGTCTCCTGTTGTTTAGCTCCTCCCATGTTCAGGGAAACAGAATGTTGTACATTCTCTCTAAATGAACAAGATTGCATTAAAGGTACCTGAACCCATCATAGATTTCTTCTAACTGGAACAACCTGCAGGGCCCCAAACTGTGACTAACCACTTAGGTCAAAAGTGGTAACATTACCTACAGTGAGAAATTGGAAAATCTAAGGCATTCCTCATATGCTGATCCAAAACTCTTCTTGGCATATGAGCCTCCCTGAAAAAATTCATTAGATCTGGAAAAGAATCTACTCCTCTCAATGGTCGTTGTCAAGAGCAGTCTTCTTGCTTTCTGTTTAAGCAGAATCAATTTTTCTGTTCCTCTTCTAAG